ATCGACGTCCTCCGTCGTTTTCTTCTTCCGTGTATCACACCTCCGACGAATCAAACCGCCGTATCATCTACCGGAGTATCATCATCGACCAAGAAACGTCTCAGTACTTCACTCAGAGACGACATCGACGTTCAAGACTCTGTTTCTTCCTCCGCCTCTTCCTCCGAGGCAACTTCCAACTCCGCCGCAGCCTCCGACTACCTATTAACCCCAATCACGGCGGCGCCACAGAGACCGTCGAAGACGATGGTGATCGGTACGATATTCGGAAGGAGAAAAGGACACGTGTGGTTCTGCGTTCAACACGACCGTCTCTCTGTTAAACCGATCCTTCTCCTCGAGCTTTCCATAGCAACGCATCAGCTAGTTCACGAGATGGGTTCGGGTCTTGTTCGGGTCGCTCTCGAATGCCCGACCCGACCCGAATTGACTTCTTGCCTACTAAGATCCGTACCCGTTTGGACCATGTTCTGTAATGGGAGAAAGCTAGGGTTTGCTGTACGGAGAGGTGCGAACGAAGAGACGAGGGTCATGTTGAAGAAATTGGAGTCCATGACTGTTGGGGCGGGCGTGTTACCATCTGGATCTGGATCCGGATCCGGATCGGGTGAATCGGATCTTGAAGAGGTTATGTATATGAGAGCGAATTATGAGCATGTTGTTGGGAGCTCTGACTCGGAGTCGTTTCATTTGATTAACCCGGACGCTAACTCGGCTCAAGAACTCAGTATCTTCTTGCTCAGGACCTCTGCCTAATTGGCTCGCTTTGAGGGTAACTTATGCAAGAATTTGCTTTCTGGTTACCAAGATTGGATTTGAGTTTCAGTGATTGTGAGGATGGTAGTGAGAAAAAGAACCAAGATTTTTGGTTAGGGGTTTACGTTTTAGTGCTTAGAGATCTTTTTATGGAACAGAGATTAGGGGTTTTGAGCTCTCAGTGAGACATTTGTTTGTGGGTCTAACGTGGATCTTGAGTTCTTGATCCGAGGAAACATTTTTTTTTGTTAGGAAGATTGACAATTCTTTCAAGATGTTTTCGAGTACTATAATCTTTCTTTGGAGTAACAAAACTCTCATTTCACGATTTTGTGTTTAAATCTCTCATTCATTGTTACAAATACAAAAGCACAGTACGAAGCAAAACAAAACTTACAGTAGATAAGTATCATAAATGAGAACAAGGAGATTGCTTGCGTAGAACAGTGTAAAATGATGCCTTTGAATGTTAAAAGCCAAATGCAACAAAACCTATATACTGGAAAAACTTCACTCTGTTTTCCGCGGTAGTAAGAAAAGCAAAATTTTACTACCAAAGGGTTTGAAAAGATGGGCAAAGGAAACAAAAATGTTGTTCCTTTCTTTCTTCTACTAGCTCTATAAGCAGCTAAAGCACTAAAGTCGTCTAAGTATAAGGGGCAGGAGCTGATAAGTATGTTTTCAGAAACTCGTACGTCATGAAGGCGATGCCAACACCAGGAACCACTTTGTAATATTCAGGCAATATTCCTCTGTACAGTCCTCTGATGCCTTCTGACTTGAATATGTGTTTGAATGTTCCTAAGAGTCCTGTGTTATACACTCTCGCTCTCCCACCAGCTCCTTCCACTTGCATTCTTCTTCTCACAAGATCCAATGGGAATGTCGCTACAAAGTTATGGGAATCGAAAAGTTTGTCATCTGATGCATATAGTAAGAAGCAGACATGTACGTCTCTAGACTCTAGGAACAAAGCTTTGAAACTACAAAGCCGATATCCAAAATTGACTTTGGGTTATACTGACAAAACGTGAAAGGGCTTAGTGTCTTGTAAAGTTTGGGTCATATAACAAACCTGTTGAAGAAGCAACTCCTGCCAGACCTCCAGAACCAAGACTAACAATCAATGTTGAATCATTTGGCCTGAAGAAGTTTATAGGAAAGAGTAAGATATATATGACAAGTTAGTTAGAATCTGAACGAAAAAATATACTCAACAGGCAAATGCAATAGTAACAGCAACATCCTAATTAAAGATGCCTTTACCTATGAGATTGCCAAGACGATTTCACAGACTCATACACAGCAAAGTTGATTGCAAGGCTCGGCGCAACACCCTGCATCAGATAAAGATGCAACAAGAAACACTTAACAATCAATACATTTCACACAAGAGAGCAAAGGAAAAGCAAAGAAAGCGTACCAACATTGTAGCACCAAGGCCTTTATACAGACCCAAGAGTCCCTCTTCTCTGCATATAGTACGGAAAGCATGCCCAATACCCTGGTAATACATTGCATTTCTCTGGGAAGGATCGAATATAATGCATTTAGACCACAGAAAGACAAAGAAACATTGCATTTCAAACAGCATATTCAAGAAGGAAATCAAAATAAGGATAGAAACCTGTGCAGCAAGACGTGTCCTAACTAGATCGAGGGGATACGTAGCTGAACCAGCTGTTATTCCAGCCAAGCCGCCACTAACAAAGTGCACAAACGGGCTGCCACACGCATTTCCTATAAAACTCTGTAAGACTGGATTTGAATGCAAAAACTGCAAGATAAATAGCATTCCGAAGCTCAGTGACAGATCATGATACACGGTAACAGAAGACGCAATTATAAAAAAAAATGAATGCAACTCACATTCTTGTATTCTTCATATGCATAGAAGTTAACTGCAGAATAAGGAAGCCTGTGTGCTACAGTTACCAGATTTCCTTTCCAAAATGCTCTAAATCCTTCCTCGTTTATAATACGAGAAGCTTCACGCCATAAACTTAGCCTGCTTAATACTGCAGCGTCTGACTGCATTCCTTGCAACTGTATAAGAGACAACAAGCTTTAATGGCAAAAACAATGTAAAATGGCATTCCTCACGCATTATTGTAACTTGATTACAGATTAACAAAGTCTCGAATTTGGCATCAAAATGTGTGACAAACCAAAAGTGCCAAACACAAATTTCTCATGAATTCGCTAAATGTTCTAAACCCCTTAAATCAATTCATAACCCAAAGCCCTTTCTACTATCAGAATCTGAAACTCTAGCATTAAATAAAAACCCAATTTTTAATCAGATTGACGAAACCAAAGGGGGAAACTCGAGCTCGAACAAGACCTGAAACAAGATGGTGAGACGAGAGAGAGGAGCAGTACAGGTCTTGCTGAAGGCGCCGGAAATACCACCGGCGATTAGATGTCCGATTTGAGCATGCGGCTGAATATGTCGCTGTTTCTGTGATAAACTTCTAGTTCCGGCATCGATAACGCTGCTATGCGCGGTGGTTGCTCCTCCATCCACCGCCACACTGACTCTAGCTTCAATATTCATCTCTCTATCTCTATATCGCTTTCTATAAGGCTAACCCGTTTCTGGGTTGGAGAAATTGGAATCGAAGGTCACATGGATTGATGGAGATGATTGGATTACGATGGAGATCGGAGAAATCGACATGGGAGAGAGAGGGAAAAGGTTAACTCTTTGAGAAACCCTAAAACTTGCTTGGAGAAGGAGGAGGGTATTTTGGTAAAACAACTATAGATACTGAGATACGGAGGAATATGCGTCCCAATTTGGTTTCTCAAAAAAAAAAATTCTTTTGATTAAAATTCTCATTTGAATTGTTTTGGCGAGGGGTGTAAATCGTAACCGCTGCTGAGTTTTTGCTGAATTGCAGAATTTGTTGAAATTTTAGTGATTTTTTGCAGAATTTGCAGAATAATTTCAAACTTAAATGGTAACCGCTGAATTTTTGCTGATTTTCTGCTGAATTGCTGAATATGCTGAAAGCTACTGAATTTTTAGTGATTTCTTGCGGAATTTGGCTGAATAATATCAAATTTAAATGGTGACAGCGTAATATGCTAATTTTTTTTATTAAAACAAAG